ATATATACTAAAAATAAAATTTGTATTTAATGCCCAATATTGTAAATTGATAGATTCAAAAACTCGATAATCGAGTTCACACAAAATTAATTTCGAAAAAAAATATATATGCATCAATTTAAGTTAGACTGACACCTATTACGCGCAGTAAGTTTTGTTTCTAATCATGGGATCTAGAAATCCGAATTTAGCTGTGTAAAAGAGTAGTATAGTGGTATAGGTATTGCCACTAGAAATAGGTAAATTATATTTCCTGTGCATTCTGCTATGGGAATCAGGGCTGAATTAAATAGTGGTCATTCGCAAGTATTGTTCTTGAATAGCAAATCTGAGGTTCTTATCTCCAGCAATTGTTCTCAATAATTTAGATACCGATTTGAAGCATCAAAAAGGTCACTTTAAATAATGGAATTCGGCGCAGTAATTGGCCACGATTTAATATAGGCAGAGTGTCCAGCTATTTCTAGCATCTAAAATAGCATTAGTGATATTACAACCACAATCAAATTCAACCGGAATTGTTTACTTTAATTCTAGATGGTTATATATAGAATACGTAAAAATATGACAATTTTATCGAATATAGTCTGGTTGTTTTCGTGATATCGATAGTGCTATTTTAGATGCTAGAAATAGTGGGACACTCCAAATATAGGTCGTTTCAGCCCTGGCAGGAGTACATTTGATATAATAGATGAGTTGTACAGCTATATTAAAAATTTCATAAAATTACGTACGTACCATGTTTATTCTCTTACATTTATATTTGTTTGGCAATTTTGCATTTATGTCAAAAATTCTGCGCATTTTGCAGCAGTGTATTAAGGGGTAATCTGCAGTTGAAGGGTTAAAAATTTTATAGTTAAAATCGGCGCAGTGTGGAATGCTATATATTCCAATCTTAAAAAAAAGTTATATAGTTAAACATATCCGCGGATATTTGGAATTACTATTTAAAATTTTCAAAATCTTAAACCATAAATATCTTTTGATTCACTAGTCCATTTTGGATGATTTTACCATCAAAATGACCGCCTCAATGAGACGATTCTACAGTTCTAACGAGCCCAAAATCGTTAAAATCCAATCAAGGGATCTCGAGATCGTTAAGGATTGTGTCACTTCGGGTGTTTTAGGATTGATTTAATCAACCCTAAAACACCCGAAAGTGACACAAACCCTTAACGATCTCGAGATCCCATTACAGCATTATTGGGTTTTGACGACTTTGGGCTCGTTAGAATCGTCTTATTGGTGTGACCATTTTGATGGTAAAATCATCCAAAAGACCAGTGAATTAAAAGTAAAGATTTTGAAATTTTTAAATAGTAATTCCAAATATCTGCGGACACGAAAATCAAAAAATACTCATATCTCGATGAATATTAGGCCGATTTACTATTATTATAATTAGAAAAATAAGCTCTACGACTTTTGTTAGAAAGTAAAAAGAGTTTGTTCAATACAAAAAAAAAAGGATTTTTATATATAAGAAATCCTTATTTACATATTTAAAAAATTTATATTAAATTCTGATTTGTAGGCTTCCGCATGGGCCTGGGGTACCCATGGGTGGTACTATGAGGGCCGGTCCAGGATACAGATTTCTGGGCCCTTAGATAAGGGTAAGGGCCCCAGGTGCTGAGCCCTTACAAAGCTGGGTAGGGCTTGGGTAATACTGCTTACTGCCCTTTAGCTCACGGGCACCTGTTAACATATTTCACATGACCACAAACCAATCATAATACAGGAGTATATTATTATAAAATAATTATACTGTATATTCTAATTAAAAATATAATCTATTGTCTATTTTTTTACTTAAACTTATTAAATATTTAGATATTTAAATTTTTTATAATAAAATTAAACTAGCAAATATTAATTTTATCTTTAAATACTATAAGAGTAAGTTAATAATAAAAAAAAAACAATATTTTTCAATTATTATAAAATGCACCTATAGTGTTTAGCACCATATATAATTGTTTTTAATAAAATTTAGAGTTAGAGTGCATTTTTATAAATTTTTTTTTTTTTATATTATAATATATATTAGATATAAGATTCCAATTTTAGTTTTTGTGAGGTTTTTGGAGTTCCTGAACATTTTTACTTGGAATACCTGATTCTATTTACTTAGTACGTTTTTGAGAAATAGAAACCTATGGTGTTGAACACCATAGATGCATTTTAGTACCTATTTAAATTAAAATATCTCAACTATTAAATCAAATTTAATAAAAATCTTTGTTTTAATTTATAACTATATAAAATTCTTATTAAATAGTTGTTAAACCATTTAATTTAAAGTTGACAAAACTTAGAAAAAATTTTAATTCATCCCAAAATTTAATTATAACAGAGGGTACCTCACCTAACCACTCTAATTCTCTCGAGTATAATTAGAAAAATCTTTGAAAATTTAAATCACAGTTTATCATTAATTTTTATAAATGTATACTAATGTAATAGTTATTCCCTTACTTGACAATTTTTCGCTAAGTTAACTTTCTAATTAAAGATATGTAGATGGTTCTACTAATTGTAAAACCATTAAAAATTTGAACGTGCAGGTCGAAAAAAAGTAGATCAGAAAAATATCATAGGATCCGATTTTGTTGATTTCTGGCGCCTATATATCAGGTGCTGATAGCTATCAGTAAGTTATCAGACACATGTCAGTTCTCATAGCACCTGATATTCCTCTGTTGTTGTCACGATAGGCGCCAAAAATCAACAAAAATCAGATCCTGATATTCCTATGATATTTTTCTGATCTCGATCTGTGATATATATATAATATTTACATATTGGTCCTAGATTCCAGTAATAACATTGGGCAAAATTATTAAAATGACGCTAATGCAGGCCGAATTAAACGATTAAACAAGTCAAATGTTCTAATCCCTTGAGGGAACTTGATCAAGTTTTAGTTTTTAAACTCCTATGTACCATCTTTTTGACCAATTACCAGGCTAAGCAAAGAAATTTCTAACTCAGTTTACTTTTTCGCAAACTTTTAAAAAAGATTTTTTTATTTATTGTCTAAATATACATATGAAACACAAATAATCATAAATACAAGAGAAATATGTTATTATAACATAACGGGTGTAAAAGTCATCGCTGTGGTTTATGATGCCACCAAATCAGATTTAAAAATTTCTAATTGAGACGAATGTTGCCTACATAACGACTCTAGAAATTCTATAAATCCAAAGTATATTAGGAAACATGTTACATTATGGTGTTCAACGCGCAACCTGATGAAATGCAATGTCAATTATGTTGGATGCAATTACCGAACTGATTGTTCTAAATATAATGAAATTGTACCAATTTCAGAATTTCTACAAGGATACCTATTTTTAAATTTATATTATATATATGGGCTAGGCTCTAGGAAAAGGGACCAAATTGACAATTTTTTCAAAAGAAATTTTTTACATAAATCAATTTAGAATAAGATTAGGATCATTTTTCACTTAAGACACAAAGTAGTTGTATTAATAAAACTTTGCAGTGCTCTTTAAAGTTTGTATTTTCTTATAATTTATTATCATCAATTTGGTCACTTTTCTCAGCACCTAGCCTATATTATGTTCTTATTCGTGTTGATGCGCTATTTGGAATGGTTTAAGTGCAAGTTTTGCTTTATATATCTATTGTGTTTTATTAAAGCGTAAAAACAAATATGAAAGTATATTAGATGTAATAAATTGATGATAAAAAAGCATAAATATATAAAATGCATACCCGTTGTGCTAATCTTCCAACATTTGCATCAACACTAACAACTTCCCATGCAAAATCTACACCAAACATCATCTTAATTCCATATACAATACGTTTGGCGTGGATTTCCTTCATGAGTATGTAATCATCACTTGTATTACGTGGAATTTTATTCTCAGAGAATTCATTGCTTGTAATATGTATACTATCAGAATCAAGAAGAACCCTTTGTACTAATGTGAGAACTGTTTGTTCAATAACATGAAGATCATCTGACGCGCAATTCGCTTATAATAATTTCATATAAAGAGAAATGAAAATTAAAATGTTGTAGACAAATAAACCAATCTGAATGATGTTAATATTATAAATTTCAAAC